AAGTTTGCAGTGAGCTCACCGAGTTCGCTCAGCGAGTTTTGAACATTTTAAGACGTCAACCGRTGTGTCRATAAGAGGACATACAATTMAAAAATGCGCGAAATTTGTTAAGTATGCCGTGCATATCGATATTTCTAGTTTTAAATAATTCTGAATTGAAAACGATGTTTAATGCTGTTATTCCAGGCTGGAGAAACTGCCAAAATAGATTTGATGCTCACTGTGAGCGGAGATGAAGAAAATAATGRCTTTGTATACCAAGTAAGTCAAAAGCTCATTGATATTTTATTTACAATTAAATTTTACGAGTACTTCACTAAATTTATCGATTTTTGCATTTTTTCAGCTGAAATCGCGAAATTTAGTACATATGCGGACTTCAAAGTTGCAAAAATTAATAATATTTGGCATTTATCCTGTAGTTGTGCTTGCTATCRCTTAATGACAAAGCAACGATCAAGATTAGAAAATATCGCCAATTTTAATTTTTCATTTTTATTTCGACTCAAAATGGCAAAGTCTAGGTTTATTCATGCATAAAAAAAGCAAGATTTCGTGTTTGAATTGTTCTGTTCTAGAATTTTTGTTCCTCTTTACAGATATATAAGCATGCACGGAAGGCTTTTTCAGTAGAMAACCTTTTGTCAATGCATGCGGTTTACCTACTTTTACTCTAAAATGCTGCGGATGTCGATATATTTGTTATAGCCGATAACAAAACAAGCAGGGGCCTGGGACTGAAAATTTGGAAAGTGCTACAATCTTACAGAAATCTGTTGTTGATAGATGAAGCACATATAAATTAGCTAAACTTTAAAGTTTGAGCAAGTTTAATTCATTAGAATTGGGAATATAATTTTTCAAAAATTTCGAAAATTACAAAGAATCTATGTATGTTTGGCTGGACGCTTTGGCTGGACACCATACATTTCTTTGTAATTTTGGCATGGTTTGAATGTCCATAACTTTATTGATATAAGTTCAAACATCATGAAACTTAGTCAGTAAGCCTTTTATAAGGTGATCTTTCACATGATGGGGTTATTCTTTCTGGAACCATTATTTAATTAGATTTGGAAGTTCGTA